TATATATATATATATATATATATATATATATATATATAAGTTATGCACTCTCTTATAGCAAGGGAATCCACCAAAACAAAATATCTTGGCAAGATCTAAAATAAAATCTTATCCTCTTCACTCTATTTTTTCTTATCCAAGAATTTCATGTTTCTAAAAAAAAATCATCATTGAGCCTAACCTAATTAAATCCCAACCCTTGGTATTTAAAAAATAAAGTTTTAATTTTACCACTCAATTCTTTACAATAAAAAAAAAAAACACAAAGACATGTGAAAAAAAACTAGAAACTTTGAAGAACTCCAACCTTAAATTTCAATCTCCTAAAACATCATGAAAATAAAATAAAAATAAAAACCTTGTTTCCATCCATTTGATATGGCTTCTAGAGTTAGTGGATTGGGTCTGAGTCCAGAGGTATGGACCCAAGAGTTGAATCAAATCTGAGTCTAGGTTGGGCCTGAGTGGATCGGGCCAAACCAACTTGACCCACCTGTTAGTTTCTTTGTATAAACATCCTCATTTTTGTTATATAATATACAATATACAATTTTTTATATTTTGATTTGAACTTGGTCGGATCCGGATCTGATCAGCTTTGACCCAATCAGATCCCACCATTTTAAAATTGACAAATTCCATGGTTTTCATGAACCCATAGGACCACATTATTTCAGTAGACCCTTAAACCATAGACCACCACAATCCATGGTCCCATCCTATGATCCACACCTAGCAAATCTCTAGCTTCCCATCCATTCTACATCTAACAAACCCCCAACTTTTAGTAGTTATCCATTCTACACCTAGCAAACCCCTAGCTTTTAGTAGTTATCCATTCTAAATCTACCTCCCCAAAATGGCATCCCATATGGTATCTTTGACCAAGGGGATTTGTTGGTTACGGGGATATTATCCTTCCCCAACAAATCTTTGGCTTTTAAATAGGTTTGTTCTTGGCCATTTGAAAGGGGCAGATAAAGATCAGATACACGAGAGAAGAGAAAACTTTATAAACTGCTTCAGGAACCCGAGCCTCCTGAGAGAAAACCTAGACCTAGGGCACAACCACCCTAGATCTACCCTTTGGGCACAACCACCCTTCTTCAACCAGATACTTGGTGGTGAACATCCGACTCAAAGAGACAAAAGAAGACCGGTTCTGATATGGCGAGCCCCAGAAGGCTCAAGAGTCCTGGGCCATCCGGTCGGGTTCGGTATCATTTCTTTCTTTTTTTTATTCTTCTTTTATTCTTCTAATTTCATTTTGATCTGCTTATTTGCTTTAAAATCATATTTTCGTGACTTGGATCATGCTGGCTCTGCCACAGATCTGAGAATAGATCTACTCGTTTTCGGGCAGATCTGACCTCAAATCTGAATTCGATTTGTCCCACTTTCTTTATCACCTTTTAATCATTTCATTTTCATTAGTTTAAGGTGTCAAATCCAAGAGATCTTCATCACCAGCTCTGTCAGATTTTGCACTGTAAACGCATACTTGTTGGGATGGATTTGGGTTAGGATCAATCCATTTACGCCGGTTAGGATCAATCCATTTACGCCCCTACTAAAATGTATCAAAGATCCTAAGTTGTTCAATCTAAATGGATGAGTGAGGTAGCTTCAATCATTTTGTCAAGCCTAACACACTTCTATTTCTAAGTTTTTTTTTTATCGGTTATCTTAAAATGAAGTCTAGATCTTTGGAGCCTACCCACTCCTTGAAAGGACACCCCCAACAAAAAAATATATATAAAAAGATCGAAATAGTAAAAGTTTGGCTATGTAACCTGAGCAAGTATATATCAATTAAAATTTTTCTTTTTGTTTTTATTTTCACCACCCAAATTACTTGCAGATGTCTAAATACATAATGAGAAATAATAAGAACACGAAGAATCTTAAGGACCCTCACTTGTTGTCGCTTTAATAATTCTTTATTACACAAACAAAATTATATAAAATTGATCTTGGAATCATAAATGACATAATACTTATGAGAACAAGAAAACAAAAAACTCCAAACTATAAAAAAGATTGCCAAAATATTACTTCAACTGGATTTTATACAACCCACACCAAGTATCATCCTCCAATGATACATGGGATCAATGATATATTTCAACTTTGAAGCATGGGAAGCCATGGGCTACAACTCTTAATCAAATATAAAAGCAATGAAATCATATGACCTCACTGTCTAAGTGGGGCATGCCCTTTCCATTGGGATTTTATGGGGCTTGCCCCCTCTGTTCTCTTGCAAAATAAAATTGGCTTGTAGGGCTATGGGGCATGCCCTCTCTTTTCTTGCTGAAATATCGATAGAGATAGATGAGAGATCTAGAAAAATTATGTTAGAGAGAGATGATAGATCTACATGAAAGAAAGACCAATGTAACCTTTTTGCCAAGGAATATAAATTTGTTTTTTATATTAATTACCCCCCTTTTTTTTTGGCAAAAAGATCACTTACAAATGGTCTTATTGCAATTAATAAAAATATCTCAAAGTAAAACCAACATAATAAAGAAATAAAACTCAATCTCTTGATGTCATTGATACAACCTACACTATGCTCGATAATAAAAAATAAAAGAGCAAGTAATTAAAAAAGAAGATGTCGGATATTGCTTCAACCAGGCTTATTACACCTGACATCGAGTCACCACATCCGATGGCACGGGGTCAGCGGTCTAGCTTCAATATCGAACCGGGAAAGCTGATTTCGGCCAAACTAGATAATTGCCTTTTAAATCCTTATAACAACTCAACCCCAAAATAAATTGGCTCAAACCCTAATTTCCTAACCCTTAGGTCTTTAGGTTACAAGGGAGAGAAAGAGAGACTAGGGTTTGGGGCGTGCCCCTAGGTATCTCTAGGGGGGAGAGGGTTAGAGAGAAAATTAGAGAGGAGAGAGACAGAGAGAGAGAGAGAGAGAAAGAGGTTTGTTAAAATGAGGAGAGAGCTCCCTTATTTATAGAAAAATTTAAGTCTAGGATTTTTTTAGGATTTCTCAAAGTTTGCGTCTTTTTTAAAATGGATCGTTGATCAAGATGATATGTGGGGTGAGAGATCTTAGCTATCTATTCCATAGATGGGCCATCAACATTATGAAAGATACATGGACCATTATCCCCCTTTCTTCAAACTATTTCCCATCAATATTTTATAAATAAATTAAATCTAATAAACTATTGTTCATTCCATAAAGTAGCATGATCCATCTCATATATTCCATAAGAATATGTCAAATATTATCAAGTTAATATATGCCACCTCATTTAGATAATATAAGGTCAATATTTACTATATGATCAAAAGATCACATGTCATAAGATAATCTTTCCATAACTTAAATTACTTGATCAGGGAGAATCCAATGAGTGGGGCGTGCCACCCTCAAGCGGCACATGTGGGCCCCACATGCCACATGGTGGGCCCAGGTGCACTATGGGTTCCCCATGTAATTTTATAAACTTTTTAAAATAAAAAAAACAATTTTAAAACTTTTATTTGAATTTTTTTAACTTTATAAAATCAATAACTTCAATTTTTTAAGTCCAAAAATCACAAATAAAATATTAAAAGATTCATAAAAATTTAAATAATAAATCTAAAATAATTTTTATAATAAAATAACACAATTAAAATTAATATGATGGAAAATTGATCCATATGTTCAGAAATTCCATCAGTGATCATGGGGCACTCCACCTTCAACTGTGGACTACAGACCACACTTGCTTTATCGAACCGAACCAGTGTTTTACATCACCCATGGTCCAAGCAGTGGCTCATTAGCGAGTCACCAAAGTCTGACCAATGAGCCAAGGGGTCGCAATCCCAGTCTATAAATTATATGTATTCAAATAGAGACGAGTGCAGGTCACCACCACCTGATGCAACCATAGCTCTATAGTGCATAGGAGTATCTCTCACATATGCATATGCTTCACCCAAAGGTGGATAACTGACTTTCCCAAACGATCTATCGATATGCATGCCATGTGATGGAATATGGATGAAGATTTGGCCCCCGTCTCTGTGGGCCTACCATCACACACAAGAGTCACACAGTCTCTCAGCTCATTCATCCAGGCATAAGCTCCGACCTCATCAAGGGCTAACCTAAAATCCTTCTCGATTTGTTCTATATGCCCAAGTACATTGGGTTTTCCAACCGACTGGCCTAGATTGACAAGCACAGTCCGATATCAACAA